AGGCTCCTCTGTGGTCCCGGCTGCACCTGAGCTGTTGAACCCGTCCCGCTCCGTTCCGCCAGCAGTGGAAAGGCTGGGTGCCTTGCGGAGTGCTGCTCCGCTCTGCAGCTGTGTGCTTGTAGAAGATGCTGCTCCCTGCACCAGGGGAGAAAATTCCCAGGAAAGAAGTGTGGGGAGGCCCAGGAACATGTGCCCTGAGCAGTTAGCTCAGGGGTTTGCTGTTCACGCGCTGCCAGAAGGGGTATTCCTTAGTGGATCAAAGACACTGTGTGACAGGCAGTGGCTGCTACACCCACTTTCCTGAGTTCTGAGCTCTGTAGCCAGAGGAGCTGCTCAGGTCTGCCCAGGGAGCAGGCTGGCCCCTGGCTGGGTTGGTTTCAATCTGGACTGTTCTGGTTTCTCCTCTAGTATGTCTCGGAAGTGGTGATCGGAGCCCCCTACGCTGTCACTGCTGATCTGCTGGAACACTTCAGGGTGAGTCTCTCCGTGCAGGTGGTGGGGTGGGATGTGTGCGGGGAGCTGACGCGGTGCAGGTGGCTTTGCTCCTCTCCCAGCCGCTCTGCAGCGGGTGCAGCGGCAGGGAAAGTCCCCGTCATCTTTTGGATCTTGTCAGCGACTTTGTGTCCTTCTGCAGGTGACGCTTGTGTGTCACGGGATGACCGAGGTGGTGTCGGACAAGGATGGTTCTGATCCGTACGAGGTGAGCTACGAGCTGCTCTGTCCGTGCTGCTTTGTCACAGTTTGGCGGTGGAGCACGGCTTTGTTCGTGTTCCCGAGCTGAGGATTTGCTCTGCAGAGGATGCTCCCCGGCCAGTCCTGGGCAGGTGGTGCCATTTGTCACCCACCCCCGAGGGCAGCAGCTTGGAGCGGAGCCTGTGGATTGCTCACAACAGCTCTGGTCTTTCAGTCGCTGTTTTGTTTTGTTTTGCCCGTTTCTGATGCCTTCGTGGCAGAACGAGAAATCCTGTCATCTTTGCTCCCTGCCAGTGCCAGGCAGCCTTGTTCAGCTCCCGTGCACGTGCAGCTTTGCTTCCAGCAGTTGGTTGTTCTGCCGCCGAGGCGACGGGTTTGTGTCGTGCCCGGTGGTGCCCCAGGCCCTGCGCTGGCTTCTGCTCAGCTCTCGCTGCCGCGCCGTGAACCCGGAGGTTCTGCGTGTTCTCCGCAGCTGAGCCGGCTGTTTGTTCCCAGGAACCAAAGAGACGCGGCATTTTCCAGCTGGTGGACAGTGGCAGCAATCTCACCACAGATTTAATTGTGCAAAGAATCATCAAGAACAGGTTGGCTTTCCTCCTCTCCCAGCTCAGTCACATTCTGTTCTGTCCAGCTTGGCTGAGGAGTGGTCAGCGGGATCGAGCAGGAAGGGAAGGGGTTGTCTAAAGGCACGGAGTCGGGGAACTGCTCCTTCATCTTCCACGGCTTGGGCAGGCTCCTTAAACGTGGACGTACCGGGCTGGACAGGGAAAACAGCTGAACTCCACGGCGCCAGAATGTGCTTCACCGCACTTTTTATCATTTTTCCTCCTCCTCTGTTAATGATGACATTTCTTGGCTGTGTTCTGGGGGATTTAGCACATCACTTCTTTCAGAGTTTGGTCGTTCAGCGCTGGCGCTGAGGCCAGCGGTCACCCTGGTTTTGGTTTGTGGCACTGAGCGGTGTGACCAGGACAGACCAGGCACGGAACAGCCGCGTCCTCCGCAGAGACGCCCGCGTCCGCCGCAGAGGGAGGAGGGCGGTGTGTGGCCGGGGTGGGAGCCGTGGGGTGATGGTGACGGGTGTGGGGGGCCGGGGGTCACGGGGGAGGTTTCTGAAGCACCCGCAGGACAGAGCAGCGGTGAAGGCACCGCTCCCTGCGCCGGGTGCTTCCGGTCAGCTGGAGCTGCGGCGGGGTGAGAATCTCGTGGCCCTTTGTGACCGATGCAGGCTGGAGTTCGAGGCCAGGAACCAGAAGAAGGAGGCGAAGGAGCTGGCTGTGCTGGAGGCCATGAAAAGGGGGGAAGAGGAGAAGTGCTAGGACAG